CTATTGTGTTAAATAACTTTTCACGCCATATTCCTTGTAGGTACGACAATCAACTTATTAACGCTGTACGTCTTGAGAGAGACCGATATGTTGTCCGCTTCTGTGACCTCGTGCCAAGAGATTTCGGTAAATCCTTCAGAAAATAACACATTTCTAGTTTTTGGTGTTCAAAGTTACTTTGCATTAAAGGTAGTATATATGACGATGTAAAGTCGACTACAACTCGCATATACGAAAATCCAACCACTCCAAAACCATACAGGTTGATTAGTAACTATTCTATTGTCGATATATCTTAGTTTTTAGATAGAAGATAGTTTATTTAACTTTAATCCTTTCAGCAAATACAAGAAGGTAGAAAAATATGATGGAAAATATCCTGCTTATCTTTCAAATAACATTTCACCGCCCACGATGTGGAATCCATCACCAGCACCTGCTACTACGACGGCTTCTGCTAGCTCACCCTTATCCTCTTCTATGATATCCATCACCCAAACCGCGCTATATAAACCTGCTGGTAGTAGCAACTCGCTTGGACAGGTAAATTTAGATGGAAATTGTTCTGATTTGATGCTGATTATAACCCATTATAGCAATTGGTAAGCATGTCTGCCAACAGCTTCGATGGAGCGGGCGATATATCAGCTCCCTCTGGCCATTTGCAAAACAGGGTATCGCCAACTAGCGACCAGTCAGGAAAACAGGCAGAGCTGGACACCGACACTGAGATTATTGAAAATTTGGAGCTTTTGCATCCAAGTCAGTTCAATGGTAAGTCGAAGTGCTAAGCTAGTGATTGAAGTGCACTTCTTTGTTACGAAATCTGTTCTGAAAATATTGAAATCATTCATGGGGTTGAATGTTCCAAAATAAAAAAATAAAGACAAAATATCCAACACTGTAAAGACGAAGACGAAAATTTGATTTTTAAAGGAAACGTTTCAGGCGAAGAAATGAATATAGATCTCATTCCATTTGAGGGACCGCCAGTCAGTACACATATGAGCCCACAAAAACCACTCAGCAGGTATTCGAATCATTTATTACATTTGTCTAAAATTTGCCTAAAATATCCTTAGGCTCGTCTGCCATTACGTTATTTTATGTGTTTCTATATTATTTTAAGGTTGCCAACACAAACAAACAAAAAATCCCAAATGTCCGCACCTACAGTAGTGAAAAATGGATGGCAAGCAAAACCACAAAAAGTTGTGAATGACGAAAAACTGATGCAGTTGAAAGTTAGCAACGAGGAAAAAGAAGATAATGATCTGGGCAGCAACCAACAGGGTGAGTTCATGACAAAGCAGCTAACAGACCGCAAAAGGAGGAAAATTTTAATTTAACTTGAAATAGGATAATCAAACTTTTACAGCTCAACAAACCTCTTCCACAACGGAAGTCCCAACTTCCAGTGCCTCAGTAACAACCGAGGCCAAGGAAATGTCAGAGGAGACTACAACAACCGAGTCTGAGATGAGTGAAAACATAACGAATGACGAAATCAAGGCGGAGGACATTGAGACTACTGAAAATGAAACCGAAACAGCAACTGTGAGCAAGAAAATTAACGATAAATCTATGGAGGATATTACAATGGGTAGGTAAACCCATTTGCAAGGAAAAAAACATTTTTTCGATTGTAGATTTACTTTTATCCTTGTAGTTAGTGATCTTTCTCGACTAACATTCCACAATGAAGATTTTCCCAAGTCTAACGAGAAAAAGTTGGCCACATCTACTCGACTTAAGATATCAAAAACAGAATTGGTCAGTTCCCTTATTTGATCAAAATTTAACTTTACAAAAACAATTTCTTTATGTTTACATTTCAGCCGCTAAAAGCTGGAGTATCACCCGATGATTTCCTCTTCCTCCATCCAATAAACTCGGATGGACAACGCCGCTCGCCAATTCGAACATACCGTCCTCATGTTGTGAGCGTACATCTATTGAATGAATAGATCCATCTCTTCCTGTAGAGCTTACTTGATGGGATTCCCCCGTTCTGGTATGAAGGTTGTGGCTAAAGCTGGTTTTAGGAAATCCGGTCTTATTTAATGCAACATTAGTTGCGTAGCTATCTCTGTTATCATTATAGAATTTATTTGTTATTGTTCTCACACACCGGTATTGTTCCCGTCCTGTCTGAGCGAGACGACACATTTCTTTATTAGTGACATCAATAAATCTAATAGTTTTGAGCAATTAACATTCAAACATTGTTTTTATATCTAAAGGGTTGTAATCTCATAACATAATTTCTAATACATTCTAAGACAACTGACATATGCAAGGTTTGGGGAGGGTAGGCATAAAGAACATAACTGCATGCTCGCGCCTAATAAAGTGAAAGGACGGCTTTGGTTTCACTTCTGCTTCGGAGAATAAAGTCAAAAGAATGGAGGAATAAGGGGAAATTATAAAATTTTTATTCAAAAATATGCAAAACCAGGATATAAGAAAAGCTCGTTTTGTATGTCTTAACAACTTTGAAGCCATTCCATCCAACTGAATCTGTTTTGTTTAGGATGTCGGGTCTTCAGAAGAAGATGATGGGATGAGCGAAACAGA